AATCATCATCTTCTTCTCGAATCTCCTTTTTAACCTTTGGCGAATGCACTGAAGTGTTTTTATTATACGAACGGTGCTACCCAGAAAACAGAGTTGACAACAGGCCGTCACACTTACTTCGTGAATTGAGAGGGGATCGCGAAGAAAATCCGTTAACGTGCAAAGCACTATGAACTTCACCAGCACAAGAATTATGCCCAGCTATCTCCCATGGCTCATTCTTAACAAGAGCTGAAACAAGAACGAATGAATAACATTTCGTCCACTACGAGTCTCCTGTCTATCACAAGGCTCACTCACTTTTCCTGTCATCTTCACAGTCCTCACGTGAATGCAGTCTCGTGGATGATCTTCGAATAGGCGTCGTGAAGTCTTCTTTACGCATCTCGCGACTGGCGGCACAAACCACGTCACTGATCAGCGGTGCCAGTTTCGAATCGGACCCTCGAGTCACCCGTACATTTGAATTTCCCGAAATCTTTCGACTGCATGAGTGTGGTTGACTAAAGTAATCAATCACAGAAAAATCACCCTCAAACAGATACTTATAATGGTCTAAACTAATAACCTTTTTTCCTCTTTCTCTTTGATCTTCTTCTCCGTCAAGTGAACATCTGAGCTCAACCGCCGTGTAGTTCGTGAACTCGATAAGTCAACAGAACTAATACGTGAACGACAATGCTGACGTTTGCGATGCTTCCAAGGCTCTGCAAAAGTACATTTCAAAAATCTCCAGGAAAATTGCTTTTTCCTATAAAGCACACTATACTAATACCTTGCACTTGGTGCAAAGGATAATTATGATTAATAATAAAATTATATTTAAGACACCACAGATAACCCGACTGTCCGAATTGGCTCAATTTGACGCAATTCTTAGGACTTGGAACACTCAGAACAATTAACTGAGAGCTGGGATCCTATACGTCTAGAAAGTGTGCAGGCCTGTAGTCGCAAATATGACACTTTCGCGCATGGTAAATGTAGAAAATAAGGTAAAAGCTTGTGACTGCTTGATGTCGCTGATATCTCCGCTATTCCACACACCAAACAGCCACGTATTTGCTCGCCTGCGTCCACTAATAGACTCTGTGTTCAGTGTTTTGGATTGTGAGGTACGTAATAAGCAGGCGTCACCGCGCCGCTTAATCACACTACCTCACGCTATCTCGGGAGTGGACGAGCAGTGCGCTCGAAGTAACCGCATAGCAGGCCAAATGGTGGGTGAATACATCACCAAAATCAAGCAGAAAACAAGGCTTCAGCTTCTCATTGTGCTTTTTCGAGTACGAAAAATGGTACAGTTCTGCGGCTGGAGAATCGCCCACCCCCTATGCGGGAATGGTGTCTCCACAATTAATCAGTCCAAAAGTCCACAGTGTGTTCAAAGTCCAAAAGAGCACTCCGCATTTATTTCGAAGGTTGCTACCTCGCTACCTTTCCAAGGACTATGATTGTCACTAGGACTTGAGAGTATTGGAAAAGCGCTGAAACTCAGCGCGAATCGAACATCACGTTTACCAGAATAATGCGACATAAGGTCGTCACCGAGGCCACCTCTTAACGTCTCAACCCGATGACTTTTTGATGTGATGTGAACGTTCAACGTCACCCCCCTAAACGAGATTGTTGTGAAGCAAATCACTCACCATTAATATAATAGTACTTTAAATCATCGGGACTATATTTATCCAACAGCATAGCCTTAAAAGTTCGCAAATACTCAGCATCCACAGGAGTGAGAAAGTCAGCCTGGAAGAAGGATTAATCAGAAATCCAAAGCATAAACGACTCTGCACACGAACCTTGCACCATGTCCAGAAGCGCTGCGGAATATGGGGCGGAGGCCAAATGTCAACATCGTCCTCAGTGTCATCCTCTGGGAGACCGCAGAGACTGAAACAGAGGAAAAATAAGATTCTCCTATTTTGCAAAGAAAAAATAATATATGGTAGAATAAGCTTCACAGATGCATCAGTCAATAAAAATCGTACGTCTGTTGCAGCTCTTGTGTCGTCGTCGGGGAGATGGGCACAAACTCTCGAAGCTTGTAGGAAGGCATCGGTCTAAAAGCTCAACGAAATACAATGTACGAAGTGTGAACTAATAGTGAGCTCTGACCCAATGTATTAATCTGATGTGATGGCTGGGCATCTTATGCCCAAACGATAACGGTCCAGCGAAGAAACCTTTTTATAAAAACCGTCCCTCCTAATTGAAAAGGGACCTTTTCCCATCTCACGGGTAAAAATGACCAGGGGGAATAAATTGAACGTAACTGGGTCTATAAGCATAACAGCTTACCGTGTTCTCAAATCCTGTACAGGGTAATCTCCAGTATTTAAATACGTGACCTCTCCATGAGCACGTCTGAGATAGTCAGCTGAGTGAGCTAGCATTTTCTCCAGCTCATGCTGAAGGCAAAGCTGAAAAATAATCTTTTTACTTATGCGTCTTATTCCGCTGGAGTATTGAAAAGAAATCGACTTTCAGACTAAACTAAACAAAAAATAAACACATAAAAGAACTATGGGATAACTTTCTGAGATTTTTTGAGCTAAAGCGAGGAATCCTTGGGAGGCGAGGAATCAGTACAAATTCTATGGAAACCAAAGGTACTCACGAGATCATCTCTGTCGAGAGTGATGTCCTCCGTGTTTTTCTCCAGCAATTCACGAAGTTTTGGGCATTGCTTTTCATAAGGAAATGGAATGAATTCCGGTGGTGGTTTGATTTCTTCACTGCTGTTTGACGACTTCCGACGAGTTGGTGATGGCGTACCTAAGAATGACGGTGAGCAAAACCTCAATGCGTACGTCCTTCAGCTACACATCCTCACAAACATTGCGACCATTCATGTGTGAATCTTTGCGCTCCCTGATGTTGGTTTCCTAAGCAGATTTAGGGCGTACAAATGCGCAATTCGAAACTTAAGGTGTGACAGTTCTCCCCAAATATGTAAGTAACAATGTCTGGTGAGGTATAGCAGAAGCAGGATCCACACAGATCCCGTGTGACTTTAAAATGAGTCCATTTTCAACTAGACAAGGTGTGCACTTCTAACGAACATCGTAACCAACCCTGTCTCTTTCGCTTCGGTCGTGGCGATTTCAACGTTGTTTCAGCACTTGCTGGTGAAAAAGTAGAGCGCCGCTTCGGCTTCATCTGTAATTCACCAATGTGATGACGGTTAGATGTACTGCTCTTATTGAACTGACTAAAATTTGCATGAAAGGCGACATATAGCAATAGAACGAAAGCGTGGAGCGGCGTGACTGGGTGCCAGTCGGCCTCGGACGCTGCAACGCGGCACCCACAGCCATGCTATCGATCGATTCGCATCATCGCCACTGGTGAATGGTTGAACGCAAAAATACGAACCCAATTTTCTTTGACCTCTTCCTGTCTTGGCTCCGGCTACCACAAAGCCATTTGTGGCCACCTCCTGAAAATAACGTCCATCATCGAATGTTTCAGTGTTGTGTCCGAAAATGAAACTTTTCTTAAAGGACTCGAGTGATTCCGTTAAGCCTTTAACCCCATTCGTCACAGGACCACCTCTTGTTCGGCCAGTTCAAAATTGTTTTTTTTGAGAACGTGCTTGCCTGTGCAGATGTGGGTATTTTGCTTTTTATTTTGAAATTGGAGACAGGAGAACGTGGGAAGCACTCCCAAACAATCTGTGACTGTTCGCGTGCATCCGCACCGAATAGAAGTCCACCATCTATTTGATCAAGGGCGCTGCTCCCGTCTGTCCGAATCTTAGGCAACCATTCCTGTCAGTATCATTATCTAATCCTGGTACTTTTTTGTAGACGGAGGGGGAGCGGACCGATTATACTGTTTAAGTGATGATGACAAGTAAATGTTTATTGTGTCAGTGCGGAATCCGTTTCCACTCACAGCACTAAACCCGTGGTTTTCTCATATTTTCCGCTTATTTCTTTTTGGGAAAGCAAACCTCCCATTTTCGGAGGGGTTAATTTCATGAAATAGTGAAGTACCAGCCGGCTTTGCCGGCTGATGCCTGCACGCCTTCTTCTGAGATAAAGAATGGATTTGCTGAGCGGGCCCGGCTCCGCCGCGCTTATTCTCCTCACCGGCTTTTCTTTTATACAGATAGTCAACAATCTTTGACCAATATGTTCATACGAGTGCACTACATGATTCTTTTATATAGTGAGATTGTAAACAATCACACATTGCCTCAAAGTGATACCAAAACATGGATTTTATTCGCGACTCTGCTAGCGGTTGATCCTTCCTCTCGATTCACTTTATCGCTTCTATTGACGCTTTCGGGAGACGTTAAAGAGGATCGTAATTCACCGCACCGCCACGCGCGGCCATGGGCGCGGCGTTTTCATAACTCGTTTTAACCTGTCGAATGAAGCACCGGACTTCATGTAGACCCCGTCATCGTAGACACTCATTACTGTTTTCGGTCCTTAATTGCATGTTGTCGCCATCTACTGCCTGAAACCATCGTCCTTTGCGGGCGGGACGTCGCACGCGACGCCCAGCAGCGCGGCAAATTACGATCCTCTTGTCACATACCCGGCGCTTTTATTACCACACTTGTGATGAGTTTCTACTAAACGCACTCTATGCTTCCCCTCCCGTACTCTCCCTCACTAATCCCACCCACCCACATTATACCTCTCCCACTCCCACTTGCCCCACCCACTCCCCATCCGGCCGCTGCACGTGCTCACGTCCACCTGCCACGCGAGCAGCTCGTGCAATGGTTTGGAGTGCACTACATGGTTCTCTTATATAGTGCAGGGTGTTATCACAATCAAAACATTGGATTGATACATCTGCACCAACTGGTTTCGCCACCGGCTAGCGGTCGTTCTCTCCTTTCATTAACAT